GAGAAGTTCACAGTTTGTCCATGAGCTTTACGCTTCCTGAGAAGAGCATGCAATTAAGCAGGTAGGTGCGTTTGGCTTTCTTATACTTTGGTAGTTAGTTAATCGCTCTTTCTCTGCCTTCTTCCTTCTGGCCTTGTGCTCCTAATATCAGCTGTGTAATCCGATAGCTTCATGTTTTCTTTTAAATGGCTGGCATCTCAAAGATGACTGTATGCATGTTGATTAGACTTAGAACATTTTGGGTTTTATGTTGTTCTGAATACAGAATATCAGAGACAACTATTTTCTCTCTCTGCTTTTTATTTTTATTTTTTATTTTTGTCTAACTCTTCATCTCATAGGCCTCCCAGTAGCATTGGATGCAGGAAAAAATACTTTGATGGTGAAAAACAAGCCGAACCAGTTGTAGTTTTAGATCCTGTTTCTACACATGAACCCCAAACCAAAGACCAGGTTGCTGAAAAAGATCCAACTCAACACAAGAAGGATGAAGGCGAAATTAAACCAGAAAACAAAGAAGACAGCATTGAAAACGTGAGAGAGACAGACAGCTCCAACTGCTAATCCATAAACCAGAAGCCTGACATGTTTGGAAGTCCTTTTCAATAAGCACACGACTAGTGTGGGTGTATTGGCAAGGGCCATAGACATTCTGCTCTGGTCACTGTATTCAGAACACAGGTTCTTTTCTGGTGTCACTTTTGTAAGTAGCAACTATAAACATAAGTAAGCTGTTTAGCAAAATACACGTTCCTAGTAGGTTTTGGTTTTTTGATCTTTATAAAGATGAGATTTTCTTTTCCTAGTTGCTGTATTAAGTATGACTTCCTTTAGAAGATTACAAAAAAATTCAGATGTTGATACCTTTTTAGGAAATGTGCATACCACTCATCAAATGGAATGATGAAAGTTTGAGGTGCTTGTGGATAATTTGATAAACAAAACTGATCAACCTAATACGATTTTAAAAGCCCCCCCCAAGAAGCTTCTGTTTTGGGTCTGATCCTCTTGATGGAGAAACTGCAGCAGCATGGAAATCGTTGGGTACTGTGGCATACAAGTTATTTTCTATGGTAGACTGAGATAAACTTAAAACTCAGGAGCTGGCATCAAACTCATAGTCCCATAGTCAGTGTTAATTACACACATTGTTAACTATTGGATGAAAAATACATGATATTGATTGTGTCCAAAGCCTCCCAAGGACCTCCGAGGGGATGCTCTGGTAGCCTGAATACAGAATTGAGGTGGAAGTCTAAACCTTGAATTTAACAGTAATACGCTGGTAAACCAAGTGCTCTGTGCTATGAGTTAATTATGTTTTCCCATATACTAATGTGGCACAAGTACCGTATTTTATCACAGTTCTTATGTACAGTGAAGATAAGTGACAAGCACACATTTTTCTTGCTTCACTGCTGTTCTATATTACACAGGTTTGTTGTTTTTTTAAAAAAAGAAATTAAGCAGTAGTTAGTCTCTAAGAATACAATGTTTCAGGCTACCACAATGAATAAATAGAAATGTAATCAAGGATTTAAAAAAAAACTTATGCAGCTTTTCAAAGTTGATTGTTTCAAAATTGGTGTTTATTTAAAATAAGTGGTAATGTACTTAAATGCACTTTTTATGACAATGATTCAGTAATGGTAATTTTACTATTAAAGAAAGTGAAAGGTTTAGTTTTGTTAGCATGGCTCAGCATGTAGCTTTCAGGTGTTTTTCACCTAAGGGCAAAAGAAAATGATAGTAATAATTGCAGTAGTTGTATTGTATTGTATTTTTGCACGTGTGGTAAGCATAGGCTTGAAGAGGTGGGTAGGCAGGTACATGTACTTCCTAAATTTGGAGATAATTATCTTTCTGTAATTTCATTATGCTTGACTATTTCCATGTTCTCCCAATGATGAGTTTACAGTTACTTATCACTTTACTCATGGAGACTTAAAATGTAATGTTTTTCAACTGTATCTTTCCTTGACTGGACAATACTGCTATATGATATGCTAACTACAGACTGCATTAATTCACTAAGCGAATTCTGTTATGCTGTAATATGAACTCTCCTCACCACAACTTATTAAAAAGGCACCAACAGTTTCCCATTAAGGGTCAATTGTAGTTATTATCAACATTTTTGGCTTAGCTCCCGAAGCTTGACGTTCTTTAATAGAAAACTGTATACAAGTTGACAACTTTAGTAACTTTTAATAGTCCCTTAGATGGTTTGCGTTTTCTTTCATGTTTCTTTGTGCTGTCTTCCTTCTTGCATCTGTGATCCGTCTGCCAGTATGCAACTCACACACATTTAAGAATATAAATATGTGTACACTGTCTTTCCATATTTCATCACACCATCAACACAATAATATGGTTATCCAAACACCTTCCTTTCTGGAGTAAGAAGTTGCCCTTTTGGTGAAATGTGCTAGCTGGACTAGGGAACAGTTCGTATCAGGTATTTTGAGAGTGTTTTTACGTTTTTTAAGCTGCTTTGTTTCTCCTACTGTGATTACAAAGAATTTTAAATTAATTTGACATAAAGTATTTGATGTAAGATTGTCACTCACCTTTTCTGCCTAGAGTTTTTCCCTTTTCACTTGGATTTTGAGGGGTTTTTGCCCCTGGCTGGGGTGACATTGTCAACCAAAGCAAGGTATTCCAGATAGGAAGACATAGGAGAACTATGCTTATATCTGCAAAGTATGTTCATAGCTGTTGCACACACAAAACTTACATGCAACCTGTGTACACGATTTTAAGTTGGAAGAGACTGCATCTTGATGTTTGATTTCTCTAAAAGGTTATTTATGCTTCCTTCTGTTTGGGAAAGATAAATTAAGTCTTGTGGGCTACAGAGGTGTTTTTTTAATTAATGCTAATGCATTTTATAGCTAGAGTGAGGCAAAGAGATAAAGGTACTTTGTGCCATTGCTATTAAAGAAAAAGAAAATGTCTCTTTTTTTCCGGAAGAATAACATTTTAATTAAAGCGCTTGCACCCTTTTGTATCTGAGCTGGTCTTAAACAAAGTCCTCACCCACAGTTGTTCAGCAAATGATCAGTCCCATGGAAGTTCTCACTGGCAGGCATCAACAGGGCTGTTAGCACCCAGCCTAGTTTGCCGTGAGTAAGGAGGATGGACGCTTTGGCTCTGACTACTCACCAGTAATTGCTCTTTCCTTACCTTCTTTGTTAATGGCAAACTGTTGGAAATGGGGTAGTACAGGTAACAATTATTGTTAATTATCTTTCCTGACCAGTTTTTGGTTGTGTATTCAGTAAATGATGGTCTATATCATAGCCTTAAGGTCTGGATTATTTTTCTAAATGCATACTCTACATGTTTAGTTACATTCGTTGTGGAACAACATTTGCTTATATACCAGTAAGTTGTGAAGAATGGATAACCATCTGTCATTACCACTGACCTTAGAAGACTCATCAAGCAGTCCCTGCTTAAGGATTGGAGTGGTCTGAAGTTTCCCTTCTAAGCACTGACATTTCCCTATCCCACCATCTTTTTAAATTTGGGATATGACTAGTTTCTTTCATTTCTTTCACAGATAATATTATATATACAGTTATATAAATATATTTCTATATAACACAGAGAAAGTATGAATAGAAATAGTGCCTAGCACCCGAAGAAATTTAAACTAAAATGCTGACTATCCATTGGTGAGTGTGGTCTCAAGTGAGGATAGGTGAGTAAACTATGCCCTGTGTTGAAGTTAAACTGCTGACCCGGTCTGGTAATAAATCGCCCCTTTGGTTAATTTAATTTAGCTATTTTGTTATTCCTTGTACATTTTTGCTCTGGTTTCAGTAATTTAATTATAATTTATGTCACTGTTTCAGGGCATACTCTCATGACACTGTGTGTGTGTGTATTTTTCAAAGGGTATGTGAACACCCAGTCATGTTTGTTCTGCCTTTAAAATGAATTTTCCTTCTAGTTTCTCCTACCTGTTGTTTATTGTTGAGCATCAGGAGAGGCAATAGCAACCACATGCTGTGACACAGCTCTCCCAACTTAAAGAGACACCAACCAAGTCTCCTGCCCCATGCTCTGAGTCTGCCCTGAGCCAGTTTCAAATCATAGCTTTGAGAATAAGGAGTTGGCTCTGTTATGAGGACATGAAGGTCCCTTGTTAGTACTCTTTAAAAGGAAAGGTCCTCAGTGTGCTTAGTAAAAATTACAGAATTTATCAGAAGTCTAAACTCAGCCAACTCAGTAAATACCAATTTATATAATGTTTAGGAAAAGCAAATGGTAACCCTTTTAACAGAGACCCTAAATCATACAAAGTGGTTGGCTATTATTCTATCCATATGTTTGTGTCTGAAGATGTTTTATTTCTGCTACTCCTCTGCTATAATCCCAACACAAGCTTACCAAAGAGCCAGCTCAGGTAACAAATATGTCATACCATTTTTTAAAATATCACTTGCGAATTGCTTTTTAAATGCTGTGGTATAAATAACTGGGAATTTAATAATCTTGAGAATATTTATTCATTTGCTGATATGCTTATTCATTTATACTCATTCCAAAAAGGATCTAAGAAGACCCACAAATATAAAAATAATATAAGAAAAACTAAAATTTAAAAAGAAGAGGGAATTAGGGAAAAGGGAATTAAGGGTAGGAAAGAGATAAAACTATTTGGCTTTTACAAAAAAGAGTGATGCTCTCACACTTAACTTCTGCATGAGGCTGGCTATAAAAATGTGTCGATGCTTTTCAGCACAGATATATAGAATAAACACAGAAGATGGACATCTGTTCCCGGCACAGAGAGCTTCTAGGGTCATTAGGTTTTTGTTCTCAGAAATTTTCTGATTGGTAAAGGATGAGATGTTTGACTGAGTGTGGAGTTGGCAACAAAAATATTGGCCTCTTTTACTGGAGCATGCCCCTCAAAAATAGACAGGAGAGCTAATAGACAAAATCTATGGAAGTGTGATGGCTATCAAACAAAGTTCACAGATAAAATCTCAGGCAAAAACACCAAATATGTATTTTACCAAGCAGTGGAATTAAAAGAATCAAAACCATAGGAGTTGGTGAAGTTTAAGAGGAAACTCGATGTGGAGACACGGTGCCATACTTCAGACCTTGCAGTCTGCGAATACTGATGGTGCAGCTGAAACCTGGGGTGTGTACAGCCCTATCCAGAGGATGCTCTTGTTTCGGCTGATCCCTCTACACCTTGTGTGAGAAAGGTGGGCTCCAGGGGTTCCAGCAGCTCCCCAGCCTCAAGTGTCTCTGCCGCCTTTTCAGCTTCCTCATTAAAGTAGAAAAAAGTGTGTTCTTCATTGAAACCTGTTTTTTTTTTTTAAAAAAAAGTTAACAATAAAGTTTACTGTCTAATCCAATGGTACTAGTTTTTGTATATTACATGAGTTGAAGGAGATCATCTTCAGTACTAGTCCAAAGGTGCCACATCACCATCCCAAAGGATTCCAGAACCATTTACAAGTGGGCCTATCTTTGGTTATATGTTAATTGTGCCCTACAGATGTTCTGTTTGATTTTACTTGCACTGTCATTCAACATACAGGAACGTTTGCTGATGTATCGTGGACTTTCGGCAGAGGCTTAGTGGAAAGAAGAGGAAAATAATGAACTGGGGGAAAGGCCAGTATTATAGATGGTATGAACCACTGCCAGCTGACTGCTCTGAAGGAAAGGATGACACGCAAGGACTATTCCAGTCGGGTCCTGACATTGATAGTATTGATAGCATTTTAATGGCGGAGATTTTGCCAAGATTTCCTACTCAAAAGTGGGAGTGGAGAGATTTGTTTTTTCCAGTTTTTGGTCCCTTTAATAGTGATTCACCAAGGTCAGTGTCAGAGAAGTTCTCCTTAATCTGTTAATCCATTGTGGAATACTGAGGGGGCTGCACGGTCACCAGAGAGGGGCAGGGCCTCCGGTCACCAGAGCCCTGAAGCAGCTGTTTCCCTCATGGCAAAATGTCTGGCTGGAACTGGGTTCAGTCATGCAAGGAAGCTAAGGTCTCCACAAGTCAGGATGCCATGGAAAATAATCAGGTATGTGGGATGGTATAATTTTCCCTATTTGAAGAAACTAGCCCTTCTACACACTAAACAATACAGACTAACTTTTGACTGCCCTTTCATGACTCAGAAATAGTCTCCCAATTATATCTTTATTTTCTGTGAATCCTAGGATGCATTTCAAGACCACTACGTACGTTAAACATGACAAGTTTACAATCACAGTTTCTATCTGTCTCTTTAAATGTCACCGCATGCTATGTGCCTCCTTTTGGCCATCACAATCAATAATATAAGAAAATAAAAATGCATATTTGGTGTGTTTCTCTCCAGTTACCCAGTATACAAGGTGCTTCTAAACATGCAGATATACAAAGGTTTGATTTCATTAAATGATTAATTGATTTCTCTTGAAACCTTAGCCTTTCCAAGGTATGTTAAAATTAACACACTGCCTACTTGTTTTTAAGTAAAACGATTAGTTTCCAGGAACCCTCAGGAAAGCATCTGTCTTTAACTTTCATGGGCTGTGCAGAGAAACCTTAAGTATAATTTGGACCATAACAAAAGGTAGGCTTGGAAATTCCAATCAATTAATTCTATTGAAGAGCGTCATGCAGCCTATTCATCAAGAAAAAGGGCGAGAGTTTTAAACATTCAGGTAAATAGATAATCCATTAAGACAACAATATACATTGTGGCAAGTGCCATCCTAGTTTTGTCAGCACTTATTTATGGTCTTTGGATTCCCCTGGCCTCCTGCAGAGGGACTTCTATTCCCCCTCTTCCAATCTTTGTTCTCTTATTCATGGCTAAGTGAAAACAAAGCAAGAAAGCAGCGCATACCCAGTGTTCCATTCTGGACAAGTTCTTCCTCTATAGTGAGAAGGCGGTTGTATTTAGTCACCCGTTCACCACGGGAAAGACCCCCCAACTTGATAAACCGGACACCAAGCCCAACAGCCTGAAAGAGGGGAAAAACTAATTTTAGATGGAGGAGCCATGTCTTGCTAAAAGACAAACAATCCTTTAAGGAGAAAGGAAACTCACGGTGTGCTGTTTGGGTTTTTCTCTTATTACTTAGTTTTTAATCTTTACATAAGCATGGGAGCCTACAAGCTGAGACTGTTGAAAAGCAAACATGATGTGACTGACTATCAGGCACTTTACTAGTCACGTAGGCATGCTGATTTTATCTAAGAACATTCTGGCCTTTCTCACTTCATTTTAGGAGGGAAGATTGCAGGTGCACACACCACTCGTTTAAGTGTGCTCATCATTTTCTCTGGACTTCAATTTTTCTTCTTTTTAAAAAGTTCAGAGATTAGCTCTTTGCAAAAGGTAGCTGTCTGGGAAGAAGCAAGTCTATTTCATAAAAGGTTACATGACTTACTCTACCAAGGACTGCATTTCTCTGAAATACCAATTCGTGATAAAAGCAGTGTTTGGCAGTTGACCAGCATTCAGCACTTACCAAATCAACAAGGCTGTCATCAGATGATTCTCCTTCTGTGCTTCCAAAGACAGCGATGTGCTTCTTACCTGGAAGAGGAATTCCTTTGAGTTTTATACGGTGTAGAAAGTTAGCATACAAATGAGTCCCTGGGATCAAAATTTAAAATTTCTCAGATTTAAACTTCCTTGTGAAGAGTCAATTATTTGCCCACCTAAGAATTCTAACATTTGCATTGTTATTGCCCTGCTTTTATTTGTTTACCACACCCCCGCTTCCAGTAGTTTAGATGCTGTAAATACTAAATGAATATCATGTTTCATCAAAATTAAGATACATGATTTGTAAGATGTACTGTTATTACCACTAAAAGGGGGTAGGGGGATGCTCACATTACACTGACACATTTCTAAGACCATGGCTATAAGACACAAATCCATTTTTTAAATGTTCAATGTAGAAAAATGTGCATCTTTGAGTCAGTGAAACATGGCAAGAGTGACATGTGGAGTTGGTATGCCTATGTGATGGCTTTCTCATTTCACTGTGTAGAATTTTATTCAATGGACCGTCATTCTGAATGTTTACTAGAAGAGTAGTGTTGGGAGTAATCAATCATTTGAGGGTCTCAAACCCCTTTAAAATGTGCCCATCTATGAAGAGTGCCAGCCAGAGCTCTTCCCACGGTGACAGTGTTTGCATTGCCTCCTGTCTCTCATCTGCTACCCACAGGGCAGCCCTGCCTGAGCATCTTCTTCCAACCTCTGGCACCAACCCAGGCCCCTGGCTGCCAGTCTGGCTCTGAGTTCTGCTCCAGGTCTAAGGCCAGCTTTCTGTCTAGTTCCTGAGACCCACTTGTGGTATTTGTTTCATGCCCTGTGCATAAGGGTACAAGATGCCTGTGAACTCAGTTTGTAGTCTAGTGGGAGATCCCAGTCATTAGATAGTTGTACAAGTCATTGTGATCAGTACTACAAAGAGGAAATACAGGATGCTTGGAGGAAGATTCAGAACAGAACCTGTTAAGGATAGGGGAAGGCAAGAGTGGCTGAAGACATTTCATTTTAGCCAAGACCTGAAGGATGCAGAGTAAAGTGTGTCAGGGCAAAGCACTCTGGACCAAAGGAACAGCATGTTTAAAAGACTCAGGTGGACAAGGGAGATCACTGTAGTGTCATGGGAAAGTTACCTAATTTCTCTAAGTCTTGTTTTCTTATCAGTAAAGTGGAAATGGTAGAGTCTACTTCACAGGGATGCTGTAAGGATTATGTCCAGTTCACAAATGCCTGAGCCATTGGCCTTAAGCTGCTCTCCTCTGGCATCCCAGATGCACCAGCACTGGAGCCTTGCTTTTCACCTGTCATCCCCTGATCCCCACTGGTGGAATCCTGTCCCTGAATCCCAGCTTGATGACTCATGTTCTGCTTCCAGAGACTTCCGATGCCCCCCTGCTTTGCCAACCTGATTGGCAGCTTCCTTGTGCTGCGTGTTAGCAGTCCACCTACCCTTGCCTCAGGTCTCTGTACTGACAGAAAACTGCTTCTAATTTGATCTTGTTGCCTGTTTTCTAAGTTGTTGAAGTAGACCATTCCCTGCAATGGATGATCTCATTCCAAATTCTGATCCCTTCTAGACTTCCCCAAGTCAATGCAAATTAAAATGACCCACTGGTGTCTGGGTATATTACAAGTAGCTAAGTTTATTTTCAATTAAGTAATTCCTATATCCTACTATGTACTTGGGCCATGCCTGTGTGGAAGAAAGCTGTGGTCCCTATTAAGATGTTGACTCCTCATCTAGAATCTAGAGCATAAAGTGGTAGTAAATGGGAGGAGGAAATTTACAATACTGTAGTAACGTGATGCAGGCTATACACGTTCTGTCCCTGCTGTTCCTTGGCTGTGCCTGGTGCCTTGACTTTGTGAATGGTGAGCTGTTTTTCTTAGCTTGAATACTGCATTATAGCCAGAAGCCTGCCTAGTGCAGATGGGTACCCAGGTGTTCCACAGTACATGATTCAGGGTTTGAGACCTGTTCTTTAGCAGTAAGAATTGGGGTTCCTCTCTGGGTTTCTGTCAATTTCAAGATTTTCTGTAGCCCAAGCTCAGAACCTAAAGCAAACTGATAAATGTGCTGAAGGCTATGCCCTTTCAGAAGAAATCAGCCCGTAGTCCTCCTGTTACAGGCAGAAAGTCTCTCCCCACTGTGAAACTGACAGGGCAGTGGCCTTGGCCATACCTCTGGTAGCCCTCAGTAAAGGGGATGAGCTTGAATTTGGGCTGTTAGTGGAATGCTGTGAAGTAAGTCAGTAAGCTGCATATTGTTTTCCAGCACTAAATCTCTCACAAATGGTTGGACTTTCTTTTCTTCCAAGATTTCTTCCATGCTTTTTATGAACTTTGATATGGTGTATATTTTTGGCTGCTCGTATAACCAAGTTATTATGAGTCTTTCAGATGTATGCTTTTACTCACTGTCAATCAGATTGGTTATTTCCACCAAGTCAGACATTGTAGTTTGGTTTGTGTGTTTTATGATCAGCCCACTGGATTTGGGGATGCTGATGTTTCCTTGCTCTAGAAGTTTATAGATGCTTTTGGATGCGGTTCCTGCAATTATGTAACACCTGGAACCAAGTGCATGACAGATGCTGTCCCACTGTTCAAAGTCCTGGGTAAATATTTAAGAATTGATCATTATAATGCATTGAACATAATTATAAAACAGCAGGAATAATATAACACATAATCAAACTCACACATTTTTCCTGAGATACACAAGAGAATTTTCTTTTACTTCTGTTACTGAATGATCCCTGTACCACAGCCACACTAACCAACAAGCTTTGTGGAACAGAAACTAAAAGCAATAACATTTGAACTTAAAGGTTTTGTGAATAAAATGTCAATACACTAAATGCTATTTCTTATGTGGATTGTAGAGTTCTTCAGACCCAGGCTATTTCCATCCACTGTTGTCTATAATGCTGCTAAAGATTGGCTGGATAGATTTTTTTGATATTTCTGGTAAACAGAAAATGGAAAAAGAAAGCCTGCCAGGGGTCTAGGCCCTTCTCAACACCCTCATTTTTATTGGTGAGACCACCAAATGGACTGAAATGCTTACTTTAAAGTTATATACATATATATGCATGTTTGTATATATGTGTATGTGTACACACACACACAGTCATCCTGGCCTTTGTACCAGATTTCAACTTACCCCATTAGAACAGACCACACAGGTTCATCCTATTGCATGAAAAAAGCTGTGGTCAAGGCCGGGTGCAGTGGCTCATGTCTGTAATACCAGCACTGTGGGAGGCTGAGGCAGGAGAATCGCTTGAGTCCAGGAGTGTGAGACCAGCCTGGACAATGTGGCGAGACCCCATCTCTACAAAAAAATACAAAAACTAGCTGGGTGTGGTGGTGCGCCTGGTAGTCCCAGCTACTTGAGAGGGTGAGGTGGGAAGATGGCTTGAGCCTGGGAGTTCAAGGCTGCAGTGAGCTGTGATTGGGCTACTGCACTCCAGCCTGGATGACAGAGCAAGACCCTGTCTCAGAAAAAAATAAAAAGTGACCCGAGCCTCATGACAGTCATCACAGGTCTGGTTAAGCTCAGCCAGTGCATTCTGTGCCTGCCGGTGTGGAATGGAGGCTGTGAAAGGAAGGATGGGACTGAGACCCTGGGATTCAAAGTGAAGACCATTTTTTTTATATTGTCCTCCAAATCGAAATAGTTTTGTTATCTCCAAGAAGATACTGTTCAGTATATCTGTTCAATCTGATGGTTCTCAAATTTACAAAATCAAGAATTTGTATTTTAGAGTTTAAGTTGGTTGGGGGAGAGATAGTCTTCTATGGCACATAACTTGTCAAATGCATGAGTTTGGATAGATCATGAAACTTCAATATCTCAAACCCTTTAAAAATATGGCTTTGCAGGCCAGGGGTGGTGGCTTATGCCTGTAATCCTAGCACTTTGGGAGGACAAGGTGGGTGGATCGCCTGAGCTCAGATGTTCCAGAACAGCCTGGGCAACATGGCAAAACCTTGTCTCTACTAAAAATACGAAAAATTAGCTGGGTGTGGTGGTGCACACCTATAGTCCCAGCTGCTCGGGAGGCTGAGGCAGAAGGATCACTTGAGCCTGGCAGGCAGAGCCAATATTGTGCCACTGCACTCCAACCTGGGTGACAGAGTGAGACTCTGTCTCAAAAAAACAAAAATAGCTTTGTTACTTTTTATGCATATATAGTGACCAGATTTAGGTTGAAAAATATTTGGCCTTATAGAAGTCCTGTTTCCCTGAGCACATGAAAATGATATATGATTAATCTATTGAAGCTCCAGCAGGCACAGCAGGGGCAGCTTCCATCAGTGAGGTTGCTTATAAATACACAGGTACTCCTGAAGGGCTTGTGAATAGTGTGTTTCATTCCCCAGACAGGCACACTCCTAGGTAATTGTGTTTTTGCTATTCATTTGCTTAGTAAGTGCCTTTTCTTATAAATGCTGAAATAAACAACTCAGCCCCAGACCAAATTACAACACATTTTGAATGACAGAGATCCAAAAGAATGAGATTTTATTCTCTGTTTTGCTATAAAATGTAAAAGGTGAGTCTTGTCTATCTTATGGCATATAAAGTATGTTATAAAATATGGAAGATGAGCCCTGCTTACCTCCTTCCTGAAAGGATCAATTAAGGCAATAATTGAAGGGTACTTGTTGATCAGATCCACATATAGGTCAACCATCTCCACTGCATTTTTGTATGTGCCCATCATCACTTCATACTTTCCTTTACTCTGATATGTGTCAGGAAAATATTAAAATAAGGGATAGACGATGAATTCATCAAATGCCAAGGATGTGGTTCAGATTCCTTTTCATTCATTTTATATTAAGAAATTGTAAACAGGTTATTTTCAGGGCACAGTGACCTGAGAAATCTGTGTATTCTGCTTTAAATATCTTAACTATTAACCTGGGAAAGAAATCAAGTCACCATTCCTTTTGATGCCCTCTAGGGCTCTTCCCACACACTTCAGATGGAGCCTCCTACACAAAACACCAATGAGTACAGAGTAGGAGGGGAATAATCTGTTAGACCTGGCTGCTTGGGTAGATGGACAATAGTTGGCAAAACAAGCAGAATAGCAGTGCTAACTTGCTCACCCACTAGACTCTGCTATCTTTCAGCTCATAACTTGTTTCCTTTACTGTAAATATTCTAAAGTTAGAAAGCAAGGCTAGGCTTTTGATATACTAACAACCAGTGTGAAAAGTAATGTGACTTATGTGAGGTATTTCTTTCTCAGGTAGCATGTACCTTGTAGCAGTTGTCCTGAAGGTAGAATTCAAGTGCAATATTCGTTTGAAGTCTGGCAAACCCCTAAGTCATAAAGTATAGAAGTAAACAGGGCTGAAGCATCTAGTCTAGCCTTTCTGCAAAACAAAGCACCCTCCCTTTTAAGTCGATGTTCAGGGATGGCACCTGGGAAATTTTGGCAAGGAGAGGGAGGTGGAATGGATCAGAGTGGCTGTTTGGTTTGCTAATGCCTTCCTGCTGCTGCTGCTAATAGAATGGATTCCATTGGAATTAAGCAGGTTCCTAAGAAGACCATAACTGAAAGAATTTTATACTTTTCACCTTCAAAAGCAGCAAGAACTTTTAACTTCTATAATGCAAAGCTTTAAAAAGCCTATCTTGTCAGTGAAGAAACGCTAATGATTTTGAACCAACAATATTATAAGAATTATCTGATATCAAGCTAATACATTTTACTGAATATAAGCAATAAATACCCATTCTAGTTAGCACTAGCAGTCAGTATATTCATAGTTCCTGGTATACATTGCTGATGAAAACATGCAATTATTTTTCTTAATGGTATGCCTAGGAACCAATCATTATGTGAAGAATAGGAAATTACTTTAAACATTCTTTTATGTGCGTAGTTTCTTTTGAAAAGTAAAAGAACTTTTAGAAGTCAGCCAAAATTTAGGGTTCTTATATAGTATTCAAATTTTCCTTTGTAAAGTTAAAATCACAGTTAAAGCAGAATCCTATTTGGTCATGTCCCTTGGATTTGACAAAAATTACCAAGTCACTATAAATGCTTGACAATATACTGGGCATTTCATAAAACGTAGACTCAGCATTTTTGTGTATTTAAAACTGGGAAATGTATTAGTTCTTTATCATTCTGCTAATAAAGACACACCTGAGATTGGGTAATTTATGAAGGAAAGAGGTTTAATTGACTTACAGTTCCACATGGCTAGAGAGACCTCACAATCATGGTGGAAGGTAAAGGAGGAGCAAAATTACCTCTTACATGGCAGCAGGCAAGAGAGCATGTGCAGAGGAACTCCCCTTTATAAAACCATCAGATCTAGTGAGACTTAATCACTATCATGAGAATAGCATGGGAAGACCCACCCCCGTGATTCAGGTACCTTCCATGACACATGGGAATTATGGGAGCTACAAATCAGGATGTGATTTGGGTGCGGTCATAGCTAAACCACGTCAGGAAGAAAATGCGTAAGACAGAAAACTGATAAGTTTCTTAACATACTAGTTTCCCAAGTTTAAAGGTAAATTGCTGTTGTATTACCCCGAGGAAGTGATGACTAGAGTGTTTTTTAATGAACCTGTTTTCCACTCTCTTTTTAGAATCTTTCTCTTCAGGTGGGTGGTCCCCAGGTGAAGTCTCATCACATCACTAAAGCTCTGTCCTCCTGACCCAGGCTATGGATAACACTGTGATATGCTTAGTTGGACAAAAACATATTCATAAACTTCAAACTTGGAAATATTTTTATATTTAAAAAGTCACAGCATAAATTCTAAGAACCACATGTCTGGAAGGGCCTATCAAGTCATAAGTTACAACTCATCTACCTTTTAGGCTCGACAAATTCAGCCTTTACCAACCAAATGCAATTTGTTCAATTGTTTTTCAGTAGCTTTCAGGATTGAAATGTAAGCAACTCATTTTACTCATCTTTATTGTAGAATTCTAAATATAATAATGACATTTTCTATTTTTTAAATGTCATGGTTATGTTACTCTGTGGTCATTAGCTAATTTGGTTTTCTCAGTTCCATTTACATTTGGATCCTTCACACAATATTAATAAAAAAACAGTAAGATCTGTTTAGAAAATATTCAGATAAGCTCTTTTTTTGAGTTCTAGTTTAAAAACCATGGAACTCAATAGGAGGTGAATGTTCTGAGTGGCAACTTACATAGTCCAGCAGCTCATGAGCAGCACAGTTGATAGCTAGATGCAGATTTGTTCCCAGTTCTAGCCCCAGGTTTGCACAGATTCCCTGTATTAGAACCAGTGGCTGTTCTATGGTGTCGCAGCTAATGGTTAAACAGCCAAGATGGGACATCATGCCAGTGATCTGCTGCTGCAAGATCAAGAGAAAACGATGCATATCAATATAGCACAATAGGGTTCTTGGCGCCTCCTGTGTTAGGGATGCTTATGACCAGATACAGGTCTGCAAAGATCAGTCCTTTGATTCTCAATCCTACCTAGGATTGATTCACATGACTTAGGGCATATGATTCCCCTGTGGTATCTGGGAGTAATTTTCTTATTTCTGAGGTTTCCAACTTTGGCCTGAGAGCACACTTTTCTCTCTTCAGTGTGTCTGTGTTCTCTCTTTATTGATGCTGCCATTCCTTGTATATGGGGCTAGCCTGAGTCACAACCACCTGGTTGGTGAAGGTCCAGGCACCCCCTGTAAATGTTCACCCTGTCTGTCTACCTCTGCCAGTCCTTTTCCTCCAAACCTCTGCTTTCCTATGTTCTGTTTTCCTCTAAATAAATGCCACTGTTGAAAGCATAACACTCCTTCAGGAAAAGTTTTATTTATTTGTTTGTTTTGAGACAGTGTCTTGCTCTGTCACCCAGGCTGGAGTGCAGTGGCTTGAACATGGCTCTTCAGCCTCAACTTCCCCAGGCTCGTCATCCTCCTTTCTCAGCCTCCTGAGGAGCTGAAACTACAGGCGTGTGTCACCACATCTGGCTAATTTTTTGGTATTTTGTAAAGACAGAGTCTCACTATGTTGTCCAGGCTGGTCTTGAAGTCTGGGGCTCAACCTCCCAAAGGGCTGGGATTATAGGCATTGGCCACTTTATTTATTTATGTATTTATTTATTGAGACAGAGTCTTGCTCTTGTTGCTCAGGTTGGAGTGCAATGGCACGATCACTGCAACCTCTGCCTCCTGAGTTCAAACAATTCTCCTGCCTCAGCCTCCTGAATATCTGGGATTACAGGCACCCGCCAAACAACCCAGCTAATTTTTGTATTTTTAGTAGAGACAGGGTTTTGCAATGTTGGCCAGACTAGTCTCGAACTCCTGACCATAGATGAGCCACCCTCCTTGGCCTCCCAAAGTGCTGGGATTACAGGCATGAGCCACCGCGCCCGGCTGGCATTGGTCACTTTAAAAGGATTGAAGACTTCCACTAAGAGGATGCAATACTGAGGATGGACTTTAGTGGAAGATGATTTTGGAACCCACATAACCCCAAGAAAAGACAGCTATGGAAAAGTCAGCTTGATGTGCCTTCGCCATAAATTGCCACTATGCAATTATAAATTGAAGCAGTATCAATGAATCTGAGGACTTCAGGTAAGGTGTGTGTATGTGTGTGTGTGCCAAACTCAAGGACAAACGTGAACCCGAGAATGAATATTCTGTTTTGACTGGTGATAGCACTAGTTAATTAACCATCCAACATTTTTAATGTCAATGAGAGGAAACTTTTATTTAGCAAACAAAGGAATAATTGGGGAAATTTTTGTCCTTCAATTGAGGTTTGTTAGAGAGCCTTCTAAACTATGAAAGCATCACTTACTTGGTGCTTACTAAATGCCAGGTACTGTTCTAAGCACATTACATAAAGTGAATACATTCACTCCTTACGTCAACCCCTCAACGCAGGTATTATTGTGATCTCCATTCTACAGAGTTAAGTAACTTGGACCAGATTTTAATGCAGGCAGTTTAGCAACAGAGTCTATGCCCTTAATTCTTCTGTGACTGCCTCTCTGGGATCTATATGCTGACCTGTTTCTAACAGGAAAAAAAAAAAAGTAATAGTAAAGCTGATCATAGAGAGGGCTGATGTTGGTCTAAGTTTCCCAGAACACGGAAAACCCCCTGCTGGAATGAAGGAACAGCACTGAGAACTCAAGGCTGGTTTACCATCTCCACCTCTTGCAAGGCCTAATATTAGAAGGCTGTGCTCATTCCAGTATATACAAACTGTTGACAGGATTTTGCTTACTGTTGGAAGTGGTCACACATTTCTCTTTTCTCTTCTCTCTCCCAATCTTGAAACTTTTTTTGAGATGGTGTCTTACTCTGTCATACAGGCTAGAATGCAGTGGCACGATCTCAGCTCACTGCCACCTCTGCCTCTGGATTGAAGCAATTCTCCTGCCTCAGAGGCAGGCACCTGTAATGCCAGCTACTTGGTTTGCATTATTATTGGATTTCTCATGTTCTTTTTGTATTTTTAGTAGAGACGGGGTTTCACAATCGTGGTCAGGCTGGTCTTGAACTCCTGACCTCGTGATCCACCCGCCTCAGCCTCCCAAAGTGCTGGGATTACAGGTGGGAGCCACGGCATCTGGCCCAACTTCATTTTTTTTTTCTAAACTTCGCCATGACTTCTCCTTTCCTAGCCTCACTTCTTTTGACTTCAGCAGACTCTCAAGTACCTAATATCAGGGAAAGGCAAGGATAGTTCGCTCACAGAGCAAATCAAATACTGCAGATGTGAGCAACCTTCACCCATTTGCATGCTGTTCAAAGTTCTTATTGATGGTTCTATTTATATTGTTGAAAGTTTAGGTGTATAATAGATACATCTATCAAAGCACTCACAATCACCAGCGTGACTGACAGATCAAGTTCAGCTGGTCTCCCGAGGCTCCTGAAGCCAGCACAACCAGTTTTGACAAGGAGGACTGTTTGCCTCACTCTCCTGGCAAAACTGGAGTTCCTGCAATGGTTCGTCAGAAATGATGCTTCAGTGCCTTTTGGGGACCAGATGGAAGGAATAACCATCTTTTTGTGCTGCTTCTTTTTCTCTTTGTTAATAATAGAATGTATAACATCCTGAGTGCCTTTCAGCTAGTTTTCAGAGAGATTCAACTTCCCAAACACTTCCCCTACGGGGTCCAATGTAACCCTATTACTCTTAAATCCTTCTGAACCCTGTGAGATTCCAGATGGCCAGACAGCTGCTGCCTGTTGCTAGAAGGCAGAGGCAGCATGGTACTGCAGCTCTGCGGGTGCCAGGGTTAGTGCTCCTGGAGCAATATCACTTTAAGGTTTCCATTTGTCTCAGCCCTGGTCTTGGGGCAAAAAGTGACTATGGGAGATAAAAGGGACAGGAAATCTATAAACAGTGTCATATGGAAGGATGGTAAACAATAAATAGACTTACTTGACCTCTTTTGCTTCCATCATGCCCTTTTTTTGTCTCTGCTTTTGGAGGAGAGGGCTGTGGGGCAGAAGATAAAAATATATCACCTGGAATTTTAGCAAGGATGTGGCAGCAAGCAAAGCTTTCTGCTCTTGAGACCTGACCAGCCACACTGGATCTCACACACATGTGCACGCGTGCACACACACACACACACACACACGCACTCATGCACATAGGGATGATTCCAGCCACTCCCTACTGTTATATGCCACCAACTATTTCTCAGATTCAGGAATGTGTTTCCTATAGTTCATCCTTACCCTCTGCCCCCAGTCACATATGTGGGCTGTGTATAGATTCATGCATTTCTATGCATATAAATAATGTGTTATTCACACATATGTACTCCCTCTGTGTACAGGCACCCTTTTTCTGCAGGAGGATACAAAGTCCCCACCTTGCCCTTAAAACTTAACACCACTGTGGGATTTGCTTTTACAGGCCCAATATTCTCAGGGTGCAAACGCTTTCTCCTGAAGGGTGGTTTTGACTTTGATTTAAAACAGCCAAAGGTCATTAAATCTGGTGAATCTGGTGGGTGTAGTATGAGGTTAAAAGCAAAGGTAATTCCCAAAGAATCATTCCCACATTTGGGGTATTGGATTCATATTGCAAGGATTTAATCTTTTAAAGGATGCACTTTTGTGCTCAGCGTGTACTGGCTTTGTAAGCTGGGGCATGACTGTCAAGCATTGGTATGGTTCCCACTCAAGTCTATGCACTTACGGTGACCCTGAACAGAAGGGCAAAGGGAAGTCATGTCATCACATGATCAGGTGAAGAGCTCAGTGGTTACTGACACCAATTCAGGATGGCGAACATTGAAGAACAGTTTTGGTTTGCATTATTATTGGATTTCTCATGTTTTTTATGCTCCCTCATTGAGACTTTTAAACTGCCTGAGGACAGGAAGTATGTTTTTATCCCCTTTTGCCCCTAGCATAGGGCCTTGCAAGAGCAGAAAATAACCAGGGGAAGAAATAACCTGTAACGTCTTTCTCTCTCCCTTAATAAGAATAAACTATTAAATAATGGAAGTCAAAATCTGCAGCCCCACCCCCACCCATTTCTTTTTAAAGACAGGGCCTCCACTCTGTCACACAGGCCAGAATGGTGCAGTGGCACAATCATGTCTCACTACAGCCTCGACCTCCTGAGCTTAAACAATCCTCCTTCCTCGGGCTCCTGAGTAACTGGGATGACATGTGTGTGCCGCCATGCCTGGCTAATTTTATTTTTTCTTGGTAAATACTTTTATAGAGACAGAGTTTCACTATGTTGCCCAGGCTGGCAGCATTTTTAATAATAAAATATGCAATGTATTCTAGAATGGCTGTTCTCAGTCTAAGTGGATTTACAAATGGCTAAAACCTGAAACAATCTTTCATTAGTAAAAATTAGTCTACTCAGGAGTTCCTAGGGAGAGTCAGTTATGCCAAAATAAATCTGGCATGATGTAATTTGCTAATCTATGCCACCAGCCAAATGATGTCATCAGGAACTATCACGTTATTACTAAAACAAAGCATGGTGATCGCAGTAATCCGGGCTCCACTCCTATCATCTCCCGTTTTAAAACTAAAGACCGTGGCTTTCACTAAGGTTCTCTACAGACATCTTTGGGTTGGCGCCTGCATGAGAAAATGTACCATTCAGCATTTTTTTTCTCAAAATAGATTTAAATTAAGATTTCATAGAAGAATTAGGGTAATGTTAGGAATGATCTGTCATCAGTGTAATCACCTGGAAGGATTAAACATCTTTCTATAGTCAATTACTATGCTATAAAAAGGCACCCTTTATTAGGAGCCTATCAATTCAGGGTTCCTCCCATATATTACTTCCAGTCCTTCCAAGGCAGGCTTGTTTATTTTTATTTTTAAGTGGGACAGGATCTCCCTCTGTCACCCAGTCTAGAGTGAAGTAGCCTGATAGAGATTCCTGCAGCCTCAAATTCCAGGGCTCAAGCGATCCTCCTACCTCAGCCTCCCAAGTGACTTGGGACCACAGACACATGTTACCATACTGGACTAATTTTCTTTTTTTAAATTTTTTGTGGAGACAAAGTCTCGCTATATTGCCTAGGCTGGCCTTGAACTTCTGACCTCTCCATCTCAGCCTCCCCAAAATGCTGGGATTATAGCCATGTGCTGCCACACCTGGCCAAGGCAGGCATTTAAAAATTGTACAGATGAGGAAACCAATGCACTGGCAGGATATGTAAGATGCTCACAGTGGTAGCTAATAAGTGCAGAGCCAAAATAGAAACCAAATCTGTTTGCTTCTAAGATTATGCTCTTTCTACTATATTTAATGACTTTAACTGACTTTAACAACCTAAACTTTGTGACTTTGACAGCCTAGTGATGGCTTTTGATATCTGAACTTTAAGTGCTTTATTGCCTTTTCTTCAAACATGAATGAACTAGTTGGAACTATTACTAAGAATCCCACTGCAGCTTCCAAACATGTCACACCACATGAAAAGTCAACAGGAATGTGATCCCTGCTTCACACTATTGATATAAAGGCCAGATGAAGATAAGATATAAATAAATCCTTGAAACTATAAAAGTGTTCAAAGAAAACATATTCTGTGACTTGGGAGCAGTTTAGCTTATGATCAAGATCAGAGATTCTGGGCAGACTTCCTGAGTTTGATCACAGCTTGGCCACCTACATACCTGTGGGGTCTTGGGTAAGTGCTGGGCCCAAGTTTCCTAATCTATATAAAAGGGGTAATGATAGTACCTTCCTATACAGTTAAACAGATTGAACTAGTTAAAGTATTAAAGCCTTCAGGATGGTACGCTGTAAACTTAAAAAAATTCTTGTGGAGTGTTAGTACTACAGGAAGAGGGAGCCCCTTCTGAAACAAGGCACACGAAAGCAACAGCCTTAAAGCAGGCCTCCTCAGCCTTGGCACTGTTGACACTTGGGGCTGGATTACCCTGCTGTGGGGGTTGCCCTGTACATTGCAGGACTCTCAGCAGCAGCTCTGATCCCTGCTTACAAAATGCTGTCATAACCCTCCTTCCAAGCCAAGGCCACGAAAAATGTCTCCAGACTTGCCCTGGACAAAGTCACTGCTGGTTGTGAGTCACTGCTGGTTGTGAGTCACTGCCTTAAAAGAACAGATTGCTACATTTCACTTCATCAAAAAACTTTAATAATCAATCTGACTCTGTATCATACAGTTTAAAGGCAGGCAACATGACACAGGAAAATAGGTCTAACATATATAAAGAATTGGCCGGGTATGGTGGTTCATGCTTGTAATTCCAGCACTTTGGGAGGCTGAGGTGGGCAGATCATGAGGTCAGGAGTTCGAGACCAGCCTGGCCAATGCAGTGAAACCCCGTCTCTACTAAAAATACAAAAATTAGCTGGGCGTGGTGGCGGGCACCTGTGATCTCAGCTACTCAGGAGGCTGAGAGGCAGAGAATTGCTGAACCTGGGAAGTGGAGGTTACAGTGAGCCGAGATTGCACCACTGCACTCCAGCCTGAGCAACAGAGCTAGACTCCATCTAAAAAAAAACCGAAAAACCCCAAAAAGAACCATGCATATATAAATCATATATAAAGAATTAAATCCTTTATTCTGTAAGGAATTCTAAGATACCAATAAAAGATCAACACCTCAATAAAAAGGGCAAAGAAGTAATCTGCAGAATGATTTGTGCATAATTTTTGTATTACTTTAAACACTGTTCTCTGTTGTGTGTGTATCTATCTTTTTTGTTTGTTTTTCCAGGACGAAATTTCACTCTGTCACCCAGGCTGGAGTACAATGGTGTGATCTCGGCTCACTGCAACCTCCACCTTCCAGGTTCAAGTGATTCTCCTGCCTCAGCCTTCTGAGTAGCTGGGCTTAGAGATGTGCACCACCACATCCGGCTAATTTTTGTATTTTTAGTAGAGATGGGGTTTTGCCATGTTTGCCAGGCTGGTCATGAAGTCCTGACCTCAGGTGATCCGCCCACCTCGGCCTCCCAAAGTGCTGGGATTACAGGCATGAGCCACTGCGCCTGGCCTATAAATTTTTTAAAAAAGGCTGGAAGGCCACACTCAATTTTTTATGGTGGTTATCTCTAGAGAAGGGACTGTACTGAGGGTGGTAGTCTGTAGGAGGCTGTTGTGGGCAGGTAGCTCTATCAGTATTTGAATTTTCATAAGAACATTCATGAGCTACTTGTGTAATCAAGAAGTAAATGAAACATTTAAAAGATAAAATGTCAGGAAAGATTTTAGAATTCAAGAAATTTTTTTTTTTTTTGAGATGGAGTTTCACTTATTGCCCGAGCTGGATTGCAATTGCATGATCTTGGCTCACTGCAACCTCTGCCTTCTGGGTTCAGGCAGTTCTCCTGCCTCAGCCTCCCGAGTAGCTGGAATCACAGATGCCTGCCACAACACTTGGGTAAGTTTTGTTGTTGTTGTTGTATTTTTAGTAGAGATGGGGTTTCACCATGTTGGCTAGGCTGGTATCAAATTCCTGACCTCAGGTAATCCACCCACCTCGGCCACCCAAAGTGTTGGGATTACAGGCGTGAGCCATTGTGCCCAGCTGTAAAGCTTTAAAAATACATTTAGATGGATGAATTATAGAATGCTCAAATATCCTGAGCACTCTGGGTTTCCTTCACCTGCTCTGACACAACCAACGCCAGGTGTGGCTCCTGATGCAGCGTGTTCCACGTTAAACTCCTTTACTCTTCACAGTCACCCTCATTTTATAAAGAGGAACCCAAGGCAGAGAGACTAAGGAATTGGCCCAAGGTCACAGAGTTATAAATGGCAAAGCAGAATGCAATGTCAGGGCTAACTTGTCCACGTCTGAGTCTCTACAGACTGGTTCACCCAGAAAAGAAGCTGGCCTCCTGAAAAGCACCATGGAAACCGGCTCCAGCCTGGAATTGCTTGAAGCAATTCGGATCAACTGCAGGGATTGGGCCCTAACCAGCCAGCCCCCATCAAAGCAGGGGAGGTTCCTGTGCCCCCTGCCTGTAGTCACACTCTGTGCTGGTGAGAGAGAGAACCAGAATTCCTCCATGTTACACTGCTATCATATCCCAACCCCATCCTACTGGGTCCTCAGTCTACCGCTTCCTAATCATGCAGCTTAAAAGCCTCAGGCTAAATACAGTGTGGGATCCTGGATTGGATCCTAGAACAGAAAAATGACATTAGTGGAAAAATCAGTGAAAGTTGAGTCAAGTGTGGAGTTATTAGTATTATACCATTTTGGTTTCTTAGTTTTGACAAATGTACCATGTAATGTATTATTTACATTGGGGGAAACTGGGTGAGGGGTATTCAGGAACTCTCTGTACTATCTTTGCAAATTTTCTGTAAATGTAATATTCCAAAATAAAAGTGTGTGTGTGTGTGTGTGTGTGTGCGCGCGCGCGCGCGCACGTGCGCACAAAGCCCCACAGACAAGGATTTGGTTCCTTTCCTAGCCTCAACCCTGCCATATCACTGGCACTGTCCTATTTAAAACATATTGGGACAACTGGTGACTCAAACATCCGCCTCTGTGACTATCCACAAGACAGCTGCTCTGCAAGCGGCCCTTGTTTGCTCAACACCAGGAATCTAATGCAGGCACAAGAGTCTAGGCCTTCATTCCCTCAAGCTTCCTCTCATGTCCTGGGGGCCACATCCTTTCTTTCTTAGTAAATCCTAAGGGATGCAGAACCAATTGCCTCAGACATTGAAATGAGATTGTTAAGTAACATTAGAGACTGGACCCACAGCCACTGAGGAGATGGATGCATGTGGCTCATGTGGGAAGCCCAAAGCCAATAAATACATTTTCCATATCAACCACAATTGATTTAATTCCAAATTAACTACAAATAGGATGCTAGAAGGTATCTAACTATCAGTAACTAGATACCACAGAATCTCTTTACGTACCATTTCAATTATTTTGTTGATATGTTTCTGAATTTCCATAAGCATCTCAACACCCTGTAAGCAGAGTAAACATGATCTTCCACAGTTGCAGGCTAGAACATTTAAGTATAAAAACTTAAAACACATGTGGCTATTTCTAACTCAGAGTATTTGAGGAGTCCCTGATTCGTGGATGGTGTGCTCTACAAAATCAGTAGATTAAATGCTAATCTTCAGACCCAGTTTTCATTGGGTTGAATGTGAATGAGAGGCTCTTCTCCCTCAGTAGCCTCTCTTCACCCTTCTTCTTCTTCTTCTTTTTTTTTTTTTTTTTGAGAAAGTCTCACTCTGTTGCCCAGGCTGGAGTGCACAGTGGTGTGATCTCAGCTTACTGCAATCTCCACTTCCTGGGTTCAAGCAATTCTCCTGCCTCTGTCTCCAAGTGGCTGGGATTACAGGTGTGCACCACCACGCTTAGCTAATTTTTGTATTTTTAGTAGAAACAGGGTTTCACCATGTTGGCTAGGCTGGTCTTGAACTCCTGACCTCAGGTGATCCTCCCATCATGTCCTCCCAAAATATTGGATTACAAGCATGAGCCACCATGCCTGGCCAACCTGGACAACTTTCTTACAATACATGTCACAGGTCACCAAGGTAGTCTGCATTAGAGTGGCTGAATCAGTATAAATCCACTGTCCCTTAAAAAGCAGAAACGTGTTGTGATGATGAGATCTGCATACGAAAACCCAATAAAGAATGGCACTCCTCATGTTCCGGTACACAAGCAGCTCAACAGGTACTAAAGGATGATAAGCCAGATATAAATCCTAGTTGTCTGCAATTGAAAACTGTAAGGCAATAATTATTTAAGAAATAATTCATCATAAAAAAACGATTTTTTAAAAACTGATTTCCACTAATTTAGATAAAATATCACTGAACTTATTGGAAGGCTTTCTGTACTTTTTGGGAAAACATCATGAACCTTTAGCCATCATGAAGATTTAAAGAGGCATATTGACTCTTTCAGGCTACTGAGGAGCAATATAGACCCTAGCACACCTCTCAGTGGTGAACATGCCACTTGAGATTTATTCACTCCAAGAATATGCACTCAAAGCCTCATAGGTTCCAGGCAGTCTGCTAGTCCTGGAGTTCTTAATTAACAGAGTGGGTTGCTAGAAGGTGCTGGCTTTCACTTGCTGCTGCCACAGGGCACAGTGCAGAGTAAATAAAGGTGCTCCAAATAACCTTCCAGCACCTTATAGGTGTGCAGTTTCTCACCTATGGCTTCTCTGTGAGTCACCAGCCTGAGTGAATGCTGTTATGAAACCAGACATCTAAGGTGGTCTTCATGCACTCCCTTTTGTCTGAGGTCTTTTTCCCCACTTCTCTGACTTCCTAAAATATTTTTTTTCCTATTTTGTCTTTAATTCCCTCTCCCTTGGTGTCACAAGGGAGCTACACTAAAAGTTAATCGACAATAGAGTATTTTTTTTTTTTCAGAAAAGGTAATTTGAGATAATGTAAGGTACTTGTTTGGTTGTTAATTCAGGATGGGGTATACAAATCACTTCTTTCATTAAATTTAGCTTCCCAGATGATGACTTCCCACAGCTGACCAGAGATACCATCAGCAAAGGCATAGATAGCATTGTTGGCTGTTCCTGAAATAGGGGGGAAACAAGGGAAAATGAGAAACAGGGTTCATCCATATTGAGATACTCATGGCTCCTTTTAATGGGACTTCATAGATACTAACCTGATTGTGCTTCAGTAGAGCAATATTTAAGTACAGAGGATTATTAAGCAGCATGCCACAGGTTTTGGCAACAGCTAGTGACACAGCGCCTATGGCCATACTGCCACTGAGTACAGGTTCAACAGGTTCTGCAGGTGTAATAGGTTTTTCTGTAGCAGTATCCTTCCTCCCTGGAGGGATAAATATTGAGAGTAAGACTGTATTTCTAAATGCTTACAAATGGAATGGCCCAGGAAAAAGAAAGGATGAAAGCTGAGGCTGGGAAAAACAGATGCTCTACCTCAATCCCCAAGAAGTTTTCTGCTTGATTTTGCTTAAGATTCTCAAATAATCATTAGCCATGGATTTTGCCTGTTTAAGACATTTTAGGCTATTTGATATTAGTTCCTTCATCAATCATATGAGGTAAATATTTTTATTCTACATTTACATGTATGTTAACTGGGCCTTAGATAGGTTAAAAGACTTGCCTAATGTAACAGAAAGTAGAGAGAGGATTTGAGCTGTCTTTACATTTCAAATCTTTGTTTTTCTATATTTCACCATAGCTGCTGCATACTTAACTTTCTGTTGAACATCTCTTCATGCACATATCTAACTTGGTACCTTTCTCACCAACCACAAACCAATGCCGTATTCTGTGTTGTTTATGATCTGCAGCAGTGCCTTTCAGATCCAAACATCGACCCAGATTCTCTACCCATCTTTCACTATAATATGTTCTCAGCCTCCCTGTCTCGTGAGGTCCAGACAGAGTTCATTGTACATCTCTCATGTTCCTCTTGTCCTTTCCTCCACAGCTGCCGATGTGGTTCAGGCCCCCAGTGGAGATAAGATATTTCAGCACCTCCTGCCTAATGAGTGCTTAGCAAATACCTGTCCCCTCCACTTCTTCCCTTCTCTTAAGCTCCAGGTTCAATCAGTCAAAAGCAACCACCAAATGAACATCCATGTTGGTCTCTACTTACAACTAAGTAGTGGTCATCACACCCTCCCAAGGGAAGATTGCTCAAAAAGTTATTTTGTCTTGGGCAAATCTCTTTACCTCTCTGGGCCTCAGCATCTGGATCTATGAAATAAGGTACCCTGTCTTCCCGGTGTCTTTGGTCCCTTCCTGGTTCTACTGCTTTCTTACTCAGTGGAACCTGCGTTAATTGGGTGTTTGGTTCGTGCCTGGCCTCATGCTAGATACGAGCAATGGCAAGTAGAATAAACATGATTCATCCCTTAAGGAGCATGTTCTAGTTCAGCAGACATATAAAACCCTGTTATTACACTAAGAGCAGCTCCAGAATGAATGTTCTGCAGGGGCTGAGGTTAGCAATCTGTTGGAAGGCATGAAGCGAGGGCAAATTGAAGTGATAATTTCTATTATTTGCTTTAAAATAGTTTTGTAAAGAAAATATTTATTTTACATAGGGCTAAGAAAAAGTTGGTTGTTCATATCAAAGGAATCAAAACTCTAAGATGTGCAGTGGCTTTTTGATTAGCTAATGGAAATTTTGAAGGGAGGTGAAAGGTCTCCCATGCCATCTCCTCCCACCCTACCCCTGACTAGGCACTGCTCAATGTATCTTATTTAATAATAAAATATTTCTCACCTTTAGGTGAGAAATTGTTTTATTTTAGAAATAAAAACGGAGAGTTGGATGGGGCAAGATCTTTGAGTGGGGATGTGGCGTAAGATGGATTTGGCCATAGGCAAAACTGGATCTGTGGCAGAGACTCAGAAAGGCAGTCCAGGGCTGGGCACGGTGGCTCACGCCTGTAATCCCAGCACTTTGGGAGGCCGAAGTGAGTTGATCAGGAGGTCGAGAGATCGAGACCATCCTGGTCAACATGGTGAAACCCTGTCTCTACTAAAAATACAAAAAAAAATTAGCTGGGCATGGTGGCATGTGCCTGTAATCCCAGCTACTTGGGAGGCTGAGGCAGGAGAATTGCCTGAATCTAGGAGGCGGAGGTTGCGGTGAGCCGAGATTGCGCCATTGCACTCTAGCCTGGGTAACAAGAGCGGAACTCCATCTCAAAAAAAAAAAAAAAAAGAAAAGAAAAGAAAAGAAAGGCAGTCCAAGCTTCAGCCTTTCTTCCTTGCACATTTGTTACTAAGGGTTATGCAAGATGGTAAGTCACCAACCAACCTGGCTTTTGCCCCTTTTTTTTGGTAGGTGGAGGAGGTGGTGGCGGTGGTACTGGAGGTAGAGGTATAAGCACTGTTGAGTATTCCAGGCTCTTTTTCAGTTCTTTTCTCTCCTTATCTTCTTGTACTTTACTTGCAAAGAATTTCCTAAATGGCAAGAAAATATGGCTTTACAATGGGATATCTAGGAATATCACTCTGATTTTGGTCATGTTTTAGAGCTGACCCCAATATATTTCAATAAATAACTGCTTTTTAGCTACTTAAGAACAAACCAGCTTTAATTTTCAAGGCCAGAAAACAATGATGCTGTTATAAAACTGTGTTCAAGAACTGAAATTTATTTTGGCATGGAAATAAATATTTAAAGATTTCAGGTGCTCATTTTTAAATTATTTGAGCCCTGAGTTTGCATTTTTAGAGCAAAACTTGAAGATGTAATTTTATTAAGGGTTACAGCATTTTATTTTTGTATCAATGACCATGAGGAAACAAATGTGTCAAGAACAGGGTGAAATATAGCATATTAATATAGAGAACTTCCTTTCTTTTTTTCTTGGCACTTAGGATGAATATTAAAAAACAACTTTTGGAAATCTCACTTAGATGCATTTATGTAAAATTTCAGCACCCCAGAATAAAAAGAAGAGGTAAAAACTTCTGTAGGCAAAAAAGCATGCAAATAAAAAACAAAGACATAGGAATCAGATTTGCATCAGATTTATTAATAATCCAGATGACAATGGGGCAATGCCTTTAAAGTATGAGAGAAATTTATTTCAACAGAGAATTCTATACCCAGCTAAAATATCAACCATGGGGGCAAAGTGTCATTATTCCCACACATACAATAACTAAGAAAATTTACATCCCATATACCCTTTCTCATCCTTACTTTTAACGGATATGATCCAGCAAATCATGAAATAAAAGAATGTGGGATCCAGAAATAGGAGAACAATGAAGTCTGTATGGCATCTCTGTAATTGGTCTACGGAAGAACCAGTCCAGACGGGTGGTTTGGGGAGGTAAAATGCCAGGGGGAAAAAAAGGAGAATAATAAAATATAAGATGTGGCTGAGAGCTTGAGGAAAAAAAAAAACCTAAGAAAATGATAATAGCAGATTATCATTTTCTGCTAATGACAGCAGACAGAAAAAGCAGGAATAGAATAATAGCATTCAGAAACTCCAAGAAAACCAAAATCTATTCAAAGAAATTTCTTGGCCAGGTGCAGTGGCTCACACCTGTAATCCCAGCACTTTGGGAGGCTGAGGCAGGTGGATTGCTTAAGGCCAGGAGTTCTCGACCAGCCTGGCCAACATGCTGAAAACCCGTCTCTACTAAAAATACCAAAATTAGCTGGGCATAATGGTGCATGCCTGTAATCCCAGCTACTCAGAGGCTGAGGCAGGAGAATTGCTTGAACCTTGAAGGTGGAGACTGTGGTGAGCCGAGATCATGCCACTGCACTCCAGCCTGGGTGACAGAGGAAGACTCTATCTCAAAAGAAAAAAAAAAAAAGAAAACAGTTTATTTTACAAAGGTCATTATCTTACTTTGAAGCAAACTAAAATGTTGTATACAATTAAGTAAGGGATAAAGCTTAAGGAAAGAGAATCCAATTGACCTGCTATTGGCCAAGAGGCTGTGGCATTGGACCTGGAAAAATGGAAAAATTATTCTAACCTATTACTTAGCTGGGCAACGAAGAACATTTCCATAGCCCTCGTAAATGCTTCCTTGTTAGCATTTTAGAGTCAACCTATGGGCAAAGCATGGAAGACTCAGTTGTGGCTGGAGGACAGAATGTAAGTGTCAGCTGTTGTGACTAAATAAAAGGTTATGAGAAGCTCACGCGTAGCATGTGACAGAGTGGAGAGAGGAAAAGGGCATCCTCTGGATTCATAATCTGATTCTTTTCCTGAGAAACTTTTCACTAAGTCTTAAGAAAGCTCTGTACATGGAAAGAGACCAAAAAGCCCTATGTAGCATTACACAATAAGGTGTTAATCATAGGGTTTTCAGGAGAAAACAAATTTTATGCTAAATGTGGCTGCTTTCACATATGCTTTGTAAACTGACTTCCCAATTCTATAGATTTGACAGACCCATTTTATTGGCAGGGGAAATGGAAATACAGTGGACGTGTATTTGTACTTGACGTATATATTTCAAAGTGGAAGCTGTACCTGAGTAGTTGATCCACCTCTGCCTGGTCAAAGGGTGCGATGCCCTGGAGCTCGTGCGTGATGTTGCCGTTGACCCACTGCACGGCGGTGCTGACCGCACTGGCCCTCTCTGCCTCCTCCACCTCGGCCAGCTCGGGCAGAGTGTTCTCATGGACTTCAAAGTGAGTTGAGATCACCACAGAACATATGCTCTGAAAATCATATAAATGTGTTCCACTTGTTCCCTACCTCTCCCAGAAAGAGGAAATTAAATGAGCCCAGGTTTTAAATGCATGAAAATTTACCATCAATTTCAAGGGAAGTATGAGAATATATAATTTTCTTTGAGATATTTTTATAGCTGTTGAAACATTGTGGAACCCAGCTTCATAGAACACTTAAAATTCCCGTAGAAAAACCCTACATTGAACTTCATTTTTATCACTACCTCTCCAATAAATAACGACAAAATGCAGATTTAATCATTATTATTCTCCTACCAGAGACTATAGCAAAAATTATTTCTAACAAATATGTAGCAAAGTGAATTAAAATGAATTGTTAAAACTATTAAAGTAAATTATTTATTTAGGTCAATCTAACATCTATCAATAGGTAAATAGACTAATTTATAAACCTACACATAGATGTATAGAACCTATCACATGAGTCATGTCAGAGTTTAAAAACTATTTTTGCCTCATTCCTTTTATCCATGTTAAATCATCCTTGGGCTAGTATGTCATGCCCGTATCAAAGTTACACTTAAACACAATAAGCCCTCATGGTTGATTGTATAATTCATGCTTACATGACTATGCAATACACATATATTTCACAAACACTGGATTTCAAAACATTAATTTTCTACAGTTTATACAAGAGTTGCTAATAAATGCAGTGGGGCCAGGACATTAAGGAACACATTTAAACTGCTTCATACCTTGGGAAAGTTTTGAATTGTGCAGAATATTTCTACTTGCAGGGTTGGAAGCCCTAATCCATCCAGTACGTCTTTCCCCACAATTTTGCATATGGTGGGAGGCTTTGCAAGTTTCGAAAAGCAGTTTGCCTTCAACACACACAAAAGAACAAACATCATCTGGTTCAAGTTGGTGTTTGGAAAAAAAAAAGTCACAATACCACATCTAAGTTATCTTCAAAAGGTCATTCACATTGACTGTAGTTTCTACCAAACCTCTCTATGAGTATTCTTCCTGATGCCAGGATTAGACTGGCAGTTCTCTGAGAACTGCCCTGCCCTCACATACTGAGATTTGGATTCACCCCACTCCCGAGTCTCTGGTACATGGGGCAATTTGGTTTATGTTGAACTCTCAACAGAAATTTGCATACATTTCTTAATTTAAAGGCCCTGTGTCACTATTTAGTAGGCCTTATAGTCAATTCAGTTGCCTAAGCTATCCCTCTTCTCTTTTTTTGAGACTGGGTCTTGCTGTGTCATCCAGGCTGGAGTGCAGTGGCACCATCATGGCTCACTGCAACCTCAACCACCCAGGCTCAAGAGATTCTTCCACCTCAGCCTCTGGAGTAGCTGGGACCACAGGCACATGCCCCCCCACACCTGGCTAATGTTTATTTATTTTTTGTAGACATGGGATCTTACTATACTGCTCAGGCTGGTCTCAAACTCCTGGCCTCAAGCAATCCTTCCACCTCAGCCTTCCAAAGTGCTGGGATTATAGGCATCGGCCACTGTGCCCAGTCCCCTTGTTTCAAGATACAGAAACCAACTGGTTTCTAGAACACCATGATGCATTTAAATTTAAGAAGCCTGCCATGAGCCGATTTTTATTCCTCTCAGTGAGGCATGTGATATTTTAATGGTGAAGACTTACGCAGTGGCTATATCCTACCATCAGCTCATGCACAGTCCTATGTATGAAACTATGGAAACTATGTATTCAAAGGGGCTTGTTGGGAACCTTAGTAATAGCAGTTTCACTGAGGCGGAAAGCAGAAGCCATTTGGAAGTGGTCTAAGAAAGAGACTGAAGAAAGAGAAGCCCACTCAAGAAAGAGTGGGCTTCAGCCCACTGAAGAAAGAGGTAGAAAGCCCACTCAAGGAGTCTGCATAAAAAGGTTCAGGACAGTGTTTCTGTGCAGAGAAAAAGGAGCTAGGAGAGACTGCAAGGAGGGAAGATGAAGGCACAACCTTATTGCTCTCTTGATTACTAGATAGTATTGGGCTTTGCTTTCATTTAGCAGACCAGGTCTCTGATCTTTCAGTTCAAAATCCAGTGACTTCGACCTAGACAACAGGTCATCTAATACCTACAGCGACACACCAGTTCAGAGGTGGGGCCCCAGAAGTATTAAGCAGGAGCTCATTTTCAAGCTATCCATGACTTTTCTTTTTTTTTGAGACGGAGTTTCGCTCTTTGTTACCCATGCTGGAGTGCAATGGCGCGATCTCGGCTCACTGCAACCTCCCCCTCCTGGGTTCAGGCAATTCTCCTGCCTCAGCCTCCTGAGTAGCTGGGATTATAGGCACGTGCCACCATGCCCGGCTAATTTTTTGTATTGTTAGTAAAGACAGGGTTTCACCATGTTGACCAGGATGGTCTCGATATCTTTTTTTTTTTTTTTGGGATGGAGTTTCGCTGTTGTTACCCAGACTGGAGTGCAATGGCACGATCTCGGCTCACTGCAACCTCCACCTTCTGGGTTCAAGCAATTCTCCTGCCTCAGCCTCCCAAGTAGCTGGGACTACAGGCACGCACCACCATGCCCAGCTAATTTTTTATTTTTAGTAGAGATGGGGTTTCACTTTGTTGACCAGGATGGTCTCGATCTCTTGACCTCATGATCCACCCGCCTCGGCCTCCCAAAGTGCTGGGATTACAGGCGTGAGCCACTGCGTCTGGCCCTCCATGACTTACCTTTTTAAATGGTGGTTTGTATGTTACAGAGTAAGTGTCTAAATGAATTTAGAATCAGGCGAGGAAAAATGCTATTTAACTTACACTCTGTTTGTTATAGTGAGTTCAATTTAAGAAGCACCAAGCAGCTATAATGTGCCACATGTTGTGTTAGCAGAGGAAGGGAACTCACATTTTTGAAGTGCTTAATATGTGCTTTGAAAGAGTGACTATGTGTTCTTTATCACTATATCAAAAACCACAGGGCCTGACATATATAGGATTCTACAAATTAAATCTTATATAAATTAATAAATGTCAGTTACATCCCTGGCCACTATATATACATTGTACCATTACATTCACAACACAACTCTCTAATATGTGGTATCATCTCCATCCCACAGATGAGCAGACTGAGTTCCACAAAGATTAACTGTCCAAGATCACTTAGCCAATGTTTTCATTATCTACTACTTTGTAACAGACCTCCCCAAACCTTAGTGGTTTAAACCATTAACTTGCTCACGATCCTGTAATCTGGAAGGAGCTTCAACTGGGAAATTCTTTTGATGGGCTTGTTTGGAGTCCCTTATGCAGATGTAATCATCTGGAGGCTTGATGGAAACCAGCATATCCAAGCTGTTTTCATTCAATGTCCAGTGCCTCACTGGGATGGCTGGCATAGTGAGGGGCTGGCTGGGCATCTGTCTCTCTTACAGGATATTCTGAGAGGTCTCGTATCTGTCAGGATCTTTCTTTACACAATCTCTCTCTTTCCAGCAGGGTAACTGGGACATCCTCACAGCATGATGACTAGCTTCCAAGAGGACACGCTTCAATATGCCAGCACTTATCAACTAACTCTCTGTATCGTGCTTGCCAAGGTCCTATTGATCAAAGTAAGGATGTGGCCAAGTCCAGAGTCAGTGTGGGAGGGACTTACAAAAGAGTGTTCACACGAGGTCTAGTTCCTTGGAGGACCATCAGTGTAACTCTATCACAGTGAGGAAGTGGCAGAGCTAAGAATCAAAACCAGATCTGCCATATTCCCAATCCAAAACTCTTTCAATCATTAAGTTTTGTGATGATGGAATAAATTGTATTGTTATTGCCTGCAATGATCTTTACCATGTGTGAACTCTTCTAATATGTCTGTCTTAGTTTGTTCTCACATGCTATAGAGGACTGCCTGAGACTGAGTAATTTATAAAGGAAAGAGGTTTAATTGACCATGGCTCATGTGCGAAGTTCCATATAGCTGGGGAGGCCTTAGGAAACTTACAACCGTGGTGGAAGGAAAAGCAAAAACAGCCTTCTTCATGTGATGGCCAGAAGGAAAAGAGCAAAGTGAAGTCAAGGGGTGGGGGAGCCCCTTATAAAACCATCAGATCTCATGAGAACTCACTATCAAGAGAACAACATGAGGGTAACTACCCCCATAATTTAATTACCTTCCACAGGGTCCTTCCCCACAGGTTGTATGTGGGGATTACGAGAAGTACAATTCAAGATGAGATTTGGGTGGGGACAGAGCCAAACCACATCAGTGTCGCAGAGGGACAGATGAAATTATATTGGAGCTGAACGCTGGAGGAGGTATAATGTTTCAGCGGCAGTCAAGAGGTTGATGTGGAGAGCAGATACTTTGGGGAGAGGAAATAGGACAAGCAAAGAGGAGAAAGGTAGGAAACTTCTGGCTTTAGGAAAAAGTCAGTGATTTGGTGTTGAGAAGCAAGGCAGGGGAGTGGAAGATGTATCTGTTACCAGAGGCAGGGGCTGAGCACTGTGAACCACACACATGAAGGCCAGCAAGCAGGGGAAAGCCACAGGAGGTTTCTGTGGAAGAAAACTATGGTCAGACTTGCATGTTAGGACACTGCTCTAGCAGCACTCTGCAGGATGGGTTAGATAGAGGGAGAGACTAGGTGAGAGGAAACACGGCCAAAACTAGAGCAGTAAATAAAAGGAAAAGGAGGTTGCTTTTTTGCCTCTGCAATTCCTGAACATCTTTCAAAGTCCAAGCCAAAGGCTTCCTGGATACACAGCCTCCAAGGATCTTTTCCATCCCTGAATTCCTTTATTAGCATACAGAGATCTGTCCCGCAATCTGGCACACAGTCATCTATCACCAACTCTTTTGCTCCAATTATTTTATATATTAGTGACTTTTGTCCCAAACTAAGATATAAGTTCCCTGAGAGCTGTACAAACAAATATCCTGGCTGCCTAATAGAATGAGAAGATCATTATTATACTGGGGAACAAGAGTCCATGTTTGCTTTTTTTTTTTTTTTTTTTTTTTTGAGACAGAATTTCACTCTTGTGGCCCAGGCTGGAGTGCAATGACACGATCTAGGCTCACCACCACCTCTGCCTCCCAGGTTCCAGCGATTCTCCTGCCTCAGCCTTCTGAGTAGCAGGAATTACAGGCATGCGCCACCATGCTCAGTGAATTTTGTATTTTTAGCAGAGACGAGTTTCTCTATGTTGGCCAGGCTGGTCTTAAACTCCTGACCTCAGGTGATCCACTTGCCTCGACCTCCCAAAGCGCTGGGATTACAAGCGTGAGCCACCGCACCCAGCTGGAATCATCATTTTTACCTCATCTTAGTGGTACTAAGGATTGAGTAAGTTATAGCATGCAGCACAAGGGGCTCAGTAAACCCCACCCACCCCCCCTTTTATAGGCCATGAATGAGGGGAAAAAAATCATTCTCGGATCATCCTTTATATCAACTGCCTCAACACAACGTGGTTTTGCATCCTGACAGCACATCTGCTTCTTTATAGCCCTCATTCTGCCTGGTGTTCACATTGCCTCCTTGCTTTCCCTCGCCACAGTGCAAACTCCTAGAAGCCCCAACCACCCTTGACTTCCAGACGGTAAGTGTGGGTGACTACTTTTGGATCTGGAAGGGAGAAAACGCGTTTGCTTCAACTGCTCACTGCTTAAGGTTAAGGTATGTGCCAGATCTCGGGGCTGGGCACAGACTCGGAAGGTGGTAAGAAAAGGCCCCTGTGCCCAGCAGGGGCTCACAGGTTGCCTAGGGAGGCTGCCTCAGGTGCCAAGAATATATGAAGGACATGCTGTAGGTACCCAGAAGGACGGTTGGTCCACGGCTACGTGGGCAAGGCTTTGGTCTGAATTTTGGAGTTTAGGGAGGGGACTGGTCAGATAGAAGCAGGCATCCCGGCAGAGGAGCCAGTAGAATGAGACCCCAGGCTAGGCTGAGGCCAAGCTGTAGCAAACACCAAGGTGTTCATTCTGTGGTCCAAAGGGAGCTGCTGAAGGTTGGTGAGCTGAGCTGGGGGCATTAAGGTCTGTGTTAAAAATGACAACTGGCAGCCATGAGCGGCCAGCCGGCCCACAAGCCGAGAGTCCCCTTCGGTAGCGAGGAAGCCTGCCAGGCCCTGGGCTATCGCCGCAGGTCAAATCCACCTAGAGCCCTCTTTTCTCCTGCTCCATCCTTTCCACCACTTTCTCTGGGGAGATCCTTTCGCCCCAGGGTGTCCTTCCCGCTTCTTCCCTCCGGGAGTCTCCGCGGGACGCGGACCCAGGGCCCCGGCAGCGCGCATGCGCGACTCTGCGGCGCGGCTCACAGCATTACCGCAGCGCTGGGCGGGGGGAGAGGGGCTGGAGGGAGGAAGGCGGTTGTCCCAGGTCCCTACCAGGTGCCCGTAGACGTCCGCAGGCTGTAGGTAGAAGGTTGAGTTGAGCAGCTCTTCCAGCCTGCGCGGAACGTCGTTCTCCCGGTAGTACTCCATCGCCTGCTGCTTCAGCTTCTGCAGCTCCCTAGTGGTCCCACAGCTGCGGCCGCCGCCTTCTTCCCCCATGGTAGGAGATTTTAAAGGCTACAGCGGGGTTTAGCCTGGGGGCCCACGAGCGTCCTTGCTGTCGCTAGGCAACGCAACGTGATCCCGACCCCCAGATCTCGCGAGGCGTCCAGGCCTAGGTTCTTCTGCGGCAAAGGCTGCTCCCTTTCTTGGAGCCAGAATGGCTTCTGCGCCCGCTCCCCTCCCTCCTCTCCCTGCGGGATTGGGTACGGGGTGTCTGGGCTCCTAGACTCCCGGGACTAGCTCCCTCCCAGCTTCGTTTTTCACCACTTTTCCCCGGCGATTTTCCAGAAGGGAAAATATTTAATGACCTCATCAAGCGCGTTTTGCCGGAGCGCGGCAGCCTTAGCTCCGACTTAGCTGGGGTCGCGCGCTCGGCTCCCCTCGGCCCAGCGCCTCGGGCCACCCGACCCACCCCACGCGCCCCCTAGCTCTCTGCGCTTAGTGAGCTCCTCCGGGTTGCTAGGGCTGCCTGTGCAAGGCAGGCCCACTCTACTTGGGGAGGGATGTGGGAGCTCAGGACATACTTACTGAGCTGTGGCGGTCTCAGAAATTCTTTCATTGGGCTCGTGTTTATTAATTACTTGCTCTGAGCCGAGCCGTGTGCTGGCTGGGCCTGCTATGATGTTCAGGAGAGAAACGGCCACTCACCTTTCCCTGGGATGTTAGTGGGGGTGAAAACAACGGAATGAAAAAAAACCAGTGTGGGCTGAAAATATTTGGGGTGAACCCTAAAGGATGGTTGTGGTTTGGGCAGACCTAAGAGTGGAGGGTGATTCAGGCAGGACTTGGGGTGGTAAAACGAAAATGGGGGAATGGCCTTAGCTCACATTCTCTCTCCAGAATGCTGCCTGTGTCATGCCCTTTTCAATCCAAAGTGCCTTCCTAGCTTCACTGCACCTGCCAGGTGTCATACGATTATAGAATTTAGTGTGCGTCCTCAGTTCTAGATACTTCCAGTGCTGTAGGAGTGGGCGGCGATGGACAGGGTGTTCTCGTTTTACTCTCTCCCGTTTATGTTCCCTACCCAAGTAGATGAGTTACAAGATGTGTGCCACACTTTGCCCCCAGTGGAAAACATCATACCTACTCTGCCTGTTTTCTGAGTCACTTAGCATAAAATGAGAGAGTGAGAAAACCCTTTGAAACAAGACAGTTATTTTCAATACATGCTCGTATGATGCAAATGCATAAAAATGTGATGCTGTAAGTACTGTTCGGCAGCCCAGACATGCACCTTCCAAACTTCCGCCGTGTTCTCTCTGCTCTCTTATGGAACATCTCACTGTCTGTGTGTGATAGACCATCATGAACCTGCCTTCTCTCCTTGCTAGATGGAAATCCCCTGATGGTAGGAGCTGAGTCTGTTATCTTCACATCTACTACGGAGCCTGGGGCCCTGCAAGGGCAGAGTTTGTGCTCTGCTGAATAGGTGTTGAATGAACCCTTATGCAAAATAAGCTGGTACTATTGCTGTTGTTTGCATTCCACCTTTTTGCTTTTCCTCATACATCCCTGGAAGAAAGGCACGTACTTCTCTTCTGTGCTCATCCTTGAGTGCACAGGTTGAGCCCACATCAATGAAGCCGCGTCCACAGTCCAGCTTTCACTCCAGCCAGCCCTTCTTTCTGAACTCTTTCCTCATTTGCTGCCTGGACCACAAAGTTCGGCCCTCAGGGATGTGTTGATTCATTTGACCTTTCAATGGAAGATTGCGAGTATCCTGGGCTGGGACCACCGTGTCTTAAGAGTCTCCCCCTGTAACCCATTTGCCTCAGTTCCAGGGGGACGGCAACTTGGTCTGTCTTGTTCACCACTGTGTCTGTAGCATCATTACATTATCGGATGGAATAGCTGCTCAGTAAATATTTGGTGAATGAATAAATGGGTTTTACACATAATAAACGGTTAATAAGGACTTAACTCACAATCAAACATTTTGAAGGTGGGTGAGGCCGGGCGCGGTGGCTCACGCCTGTAATCCCAGCACTTTGGGAGGCCGAGGCGGGTGGATCACGAGGTCAAGAGATCGAGACCATCCTGGTCAACATGGTGAAACCCCGTTTCTATTAAACATACAAAAAATTAGCTGGGCATGGTGGCGCGTGCCTGTAATCCCGGCTACTCAGGAGGCTGAGGCAGGAGAATTGCCTGAACCCGCGGAGGTTGCGGTGAGCCGAGATCGCGCCATTGCACTCCAGCCTGGGTAACAAGCGAAACTCCGTCTCAAAAAAAAGAAGGTGGGTGAATCATGAGTACACCAGCCTGGCTGGAGCAAAGGGTTTCTTTTCAGGAATAATGAGAAATAGGTTGGAAAAGCAGTTTGAGGTGATACTATGAAGAGGCTGGAATCTCATTTTGTAAGAGAAGGAAGCAACCCCAAATTTCTGAATATAGGAAGGGTAAGAAATAAGTAGGGTTTTAGGAAGTTAACTTGCAGCAGTGGGTAGCATTGATGGGTTTTTGTTACATAGAAAACAAGAGACAGAGGCAGAAAATTGTGTGTGTGCAAGGGCCTAAACACGGATGGCAACCATGGGAATTGATGAGTAAGAGAGAATAGGAAGGATGGATGTAAAAGGCATTGAGTGGTTGGATGTGGGTTTGGGGAAGCAGAGATGGCTATTGAGGATACCTTGTAGAATTCTGTGATAGTTAATGGAAGTAGGATCAGTGCATCATCTGGTTTTGATGGAGGCAACATGATGCATTGGGTGTTAGATGTGTAGAGCTTGAGGAGCATTGGTATCCCAGAGGAAAGGGAGGACTGAAGATCCAGATAGAAAACATCTACATAGCGTTCAGAGTTGTAAGAATAGACAAATTCTTTGGAGGGCAAAGGGGGAAACATCGTTTTGAAGTAGGACCTAAATATTGGGGAAGGAATATATTTAAGATATAAAAGGAAGGCAAGGAGCTACATCAGGAAACAGGGTTTAGAGAAAAAGGAAAAAGTCAAAATCACAAAGTCTAAGGCAGAGACTTTAGGGAATATTTCATATGTATGTGTTTGTGTGTGTAGAACTGCATAGAAAAAAGTCTGAAAAGATACATATCAGCGTGCTAATTGTGCTGTCCCAAGATGATGGGATCACCAGGACCTTTCATTTTCTTCTTTTCATATATTGATAGTATCTGGTTTTCCTGTAATGAATGCATTACTTGTATAGCCTTGAAAAATTACATTTACGATATTTGAGAGAAGGATGTTAAAGTTCCAAGAGGATGAAGACTATAAGAAGAAATCTCAATTGTTCCCTTGTAGACTTATTTCATTTTCTCAAAAAAAAATGTGACAATATGTGAAGTAAAAAAAATCAATTAATAAATAGAAACTACCATCCTGGACAATCAACTTCTGTCATTCACTCAATCAACAAATATTTATTGAATGCCCACCACGTGCCAGACACTGTTCTAGGCACTGGGGAAAGAACAGTGAATAAAAGAAATTCCTTCTCTTCATGGAATTTAAGTTCCAGTGACACTCCAGTAGCACTTATATCAGAGCGAGTTATCAGGACAAACTGAAATCATAGATGTGAAAGCATTTGGAAAAAAGTTGGTATGCGAGGGATTTATTAACAGCCGATTGGTATTGACAGATCCAGGTAAATAAAATGATTATCCATGAATATTCCATTTTCTTACTTTTCATAGATATTAGGAAATGTTTATGGGGTTTTGGCTATAAATACACTCATATATATGCAGATTTTATACATACTTTACACATTCCTTGTTTTAGTATCTTGGTGATTGTGTTTCCATTTAATATTGAGATTGAATGTCTAAGGGTACTTGAGAAGGGTCAAGTGTATTGCTAACCCTAAACTTACCAAACTGGGGAGCTGAGGATGGGAGGGAAGAAAGGGGAAAGAAGAGGCTCAGGAGATTTAGAAAGTTTCTGCAACATATTCACACAGAGAGGGTAGGACTGTGCTCTCCTGCTTTAGAAAGAGGAAATGATATCAGAGGATACAGTCATGACTGTTAACGTCCCATGAGTCTGTAACTGCACTGGAAGGCATGTATGGCGTGTGACAAGAAACACTTGTCTGGAAATGAGAAAACATAGATTGGAGTCCCAGCTGCCCCTGAGATCAATCTATGTCAGTAAAAAGAGGTGTTTGGACTGGGTTAGAATTTCCTAAGCTTTTTGAGTATGAAGGCTCCTTTTAACAACAATAATAAAATTCAGCCCCTCCCCACAACGTAATAGTAGTTATATATAATAATTATAAATTCAGCAGTATTTCTAGAGGCACAATATATTTTTATTCATGAAAATGTCACGCATATGAAAAGGGATACATTTATGGGCAAGCCATTATTCAGTGTTGGGGTGTATTTGGTGTCTTTGGAGTGTTGGGCCCGTTGCACAGAGTCCAAGGGCTTCCTGGTGGCCTTTTTAGAGAACTCCTGAACCAAGTCTTTCCATCTTGGATCTCTCCTACTTTGTAGCTCTAATTTAAGATAAAATATCAGGATACATTAGTCTGTTGCAACTTGCTAACTGAAGACCCTTCAAAGAGGAAATTAACAGTTTTTCAGTCTACATTTCAAAAACAATTTCTAAGCTATGTCAGACATTTCCTAAATGAATGTGGATGAAGAAGATGCATTTGTTCATTTTTCCCTAATCCTGTCCAGCACATTTATTTAAATTGCAACTTGTTTGCCGTGACTTTGATGTTCATAAGTGATTATTTAGATGTTATTTTGGGGTTGCTATCAAGTGCTTGTTAATTCTTATTTCCTGCACTTGACATCTGTGATGAATATCATTTTTCATAGGGAACTAATGAACATGACCACAGATACCTTTAATCATAGAATCATAAACTGGAGATAATAGATGGAAGACGTTGCCTTTTCCTCATCTAGAAAATGGGAATAATAATGTTAACTGTCTTCACTCAGTCATCATGCATAGGAAATAAGATTCCTCATCTAGAGAATGGGAATAATAACGTTAACCATCGTCATCCAGTTGTCCT